TGAATATTTACAAAAATACGAAATATCCTGATTTCTAAATAATGCTACTGCCAGTCATTTAAAAAATAAAGAACAATAATGTGTTAAATAAACGATATCTTTTTAACTGGTATTTGATAAATTGCTCCATAAAAATGAAAACAATTTACTTAACGAGCATTTTGATTGGTTTACTGAATACCATCACATTCTGTATCTACACGGACTCACGTTATTTCACACTGAAGGAGATGAGTTGTGCTTCCAAACACATAGTCCAAGACCCATATTTTGCTTATCAGATGCACACCTATGGGTGGCGTTCAATCCTAAGTCATTTTGTATGGCGCACATAACCTAGTCACAATTATAACACAAAGCCCCCCCCCCCCTTCAGGAATGCTGATCGAACGTCACAATTTTGTTATTATTGTTGAGCAAAACATCGCATCAACCCTGTTTTATGAAACTGTCAACCACAGGCTGGTTTAAGCGCTGCGAAAGCGCTTAGTAATGCATGGATGCTAGGTTCGATCCCATTTGCAGGCCCTGTGCCTTGCATTGGTTTCGACAGTGGTTTCGAGAAGCCGACTGTCCAGAAAGCAGTGGCAAACTACTCGACGTAAATTTGCCTAGAAAAGCCACAACAGCCAAAAAAAATTCTTGGTTTGGTTCTGCAACTTCCTGTAAAGGGTACGCAACTAACTTACTAACCCCAGGCAATGCAAGGGTGAGGCGTGCGTGCAATAATGGCTGCAATCGTCGCCTACACTTGCCTTGCCTGTAACACATATTTTACTATTGAAACAGTTTACTGTGTATTACAAATACGCCATTCGGTTCACATCTCAAACAGCGAAAAGAACGCTCGCTGCAGGCCTTTGCCACTAATGCACAAACATGTGAAAACTGTTAGTTACTAATACTACAATACTAGCTGCACACGTACATTCTCAACAGCATAGCGACAATGAGGAAAATATCACATGATATATAGTGTAATCGTTACTTGTTAACGCTTACACATTGAATTGATCACACCACACCATCGACCCAGTAGTCAGATGGTCATAGCTGTGTTACTATTTGTTCTTGCATAATTTGAAAACAAGACGGCACAGTCGAGCAAACCCTCTGAGAAGACAAAGAGCAGGGGACATACAGATAAGAAAGGAGTTGGAAGAGATATAAAAAATCCCGAAGACTACGCTAGAAATTCAAAGAGGTAACATCAATGGCGGATTTTAAATAGCAAATAATGGCTGTACTCAACGACATACAAACCCAACGAAGAATATACAACATTGTGGATATGGAACCTTCCAAATCGAACAGAAAAAACGAAAGAAACACAAACTAAAATGCCTAATCCAAGACCAGATGAGAGAGACAGCAGTTGTTTCAAATGAAACAATGAAAGATCTGTTGCAACGATACACGTTTAGATAAATGGCAGCCCGGCTCTCTAGCGTAGTTGGCTATACCGGATTGCGCGGAGACCGGGTGACGAACTCCTTGTGGTCCGGGTTCAATCCCGGGGGTAGGCAGGAAAGCCACATTTCTCCCAGATTTACGGTATTTACAATGGAATCAAGGCCGAAAGGTTGCGATATCTATAATACCGAGCCTAAGGGTTAACAACTCATGGCTTCTGGATACTAAAACAAACAAACAGATAAATGGCACGAGGAGCGACAACGACTACCAACCAGCGTACAGATTGTATCAAGCGGCGATTATCCAACGGAAGTACAAAAGAATACACAGGGTGAAGAAGAAAACATTCTAAGCAAGCAACAGGATGACGGCTTGAAACATCTTGTGTGGCGAAATGGACGAAGACGACACACCGACAACGTTGACGAAACCTGGTCTAGATCGCCATCGCAAATGAGGACTTAATGGCGGAACAACAGCGATAAAAGTGCGTTAAAAATCCCTGTCCCCGTCTGATTGATTGGCTGAGTGTCATCTCGAATGTCAGTTTAACGCAACAAATCTCGGGTGCCCTGCCCAACATATTAACAAGTTTTAATTAGGGTAGCCATAACCGATCCATAATTTGATTAACCTTGACTTCTAGGGTTTCATTTCTGCGATAAACGATATATATATATATATATATATATATATATATATATATATATATATATATATATAAACGACCTTCTTGTGGTTTTAGGATAGTAGTGGAAAAAGCTAGGGAGTCGCCACACAATACATATCATAAATGGGGTCTGTGTGGCTAAGTGGCCAAGCCGTTTGCCTCGCGCTGTGAAGTTGGTCAATTCGTTTAACGGGGGCGCCGTTCAGTTAACAAGTGCATTCAGACAGGCAGCTGTTTTGCGGAGAGAGACTGAGCTATGTGGAATAAATCCCGGTGCAATGACGTCGGTTCTCTCACCTTTACCTTTAGCCTTTTCCCCAAGGTAGCAGCGAATGCACTTGTAAGTAAAGGATCCCTTTTCATACTTACAGGCTTATTGGGCGTATAGGACTAGACCTATATTTTAAAGTCCAAACGGCACTTGGTGGGTAATGTCGCCAGCATCACACCCGACCTCTTTACTTACCATGAACTTTTACATGACACCCATTTAGGGCTAGGTCGACCTGGGAGCCAAGGTCATCTCTGGAAATAGTCCGGCCCCCATCAGGATCTGAACCCACGATTTTCGGACCCGTAGGCGAGCATCTAACCGCTATAACACGGCGGCTCGTTATTTCGAAGTGCATATTACTGTGCTAGCGGGAAGAAGGAAAAGGAAAACAAGAGGTAGATGAGGAAAAAGAAATCTGGCTAGGACATAATGTAGTAGTTTACAACTTAACAGAAAAAACAGGAAAAGTAAGGAAAGAACAAGGGTTCTTCTATGCATGGGCAACGAAACATTTCACCGTACCCCTAGCGATGAATATACGAATTACACAACTACAACAAAATATGACTACACACATCTAGACGAACCACGTGTACGGGCTACACATTCTAACTTGAATCAAGCAAATTAATTATAATCATTACATTGAACATATGATTATTTTCTTTAACACAAAACTAAGCGCTTCACAGATAACATTAGATTAACAATTAACATCATGTCCACACACACCACGTGCTAAGCACTTAAACTTAGGAAAGTAAAAATTTGCTCCCAGCGACCTGAAATCAAATATCTCCGAGCGATGATTTACACTGATATATAGACATACCATTATCATGAAATCAACCAGTCTACTGTAGCTCGATCGCCCGAAACCCACACTGCTATGCATATGTGCGTGCAGTCGCCGCTGTGCAGGAGCTCCTGACCTCGGGCGACTGGTGCAGCCAGAATGCGGAAAGCCGAATCGATCACTTTCCGGTTTTTGTTCACTTACATTCTAATCAAACCGAATTTATAAAGGCTTTTGGCTTCCTGCTACATTACAATATTTGCAACCCTACAGATCAAACGTGCGTTAAAAATCTCTTTTCCCTGTCTGACTATTTCTCCAATTGTCCGATTTGTCTCGTTTTCAATTTTCTCCACTGACTATTTCTGCATATTGGGCATATAGTGATAGACCTATAAAATATAGTTCTAGCCCAATATCCCCAATACGCCTGTAGGCATGAAAAAGGGTCTTTTACTAACTTACTTTACAGTAGGAAGGATCCCTGCTCCGTCCATGAAAGATATGATCTAGAAGATGGTTCTTTGTAATGTCTGTTTGTTGATGTGTTTTCGGGTATCGCATAAACAGAACAGTCATCGTTGAGCATTGGTTCTAAACAGCTCTCGTAGATGTAGGCTGTTAGATTTTTGCTGACGAAAAATATTTTCTTATGTCAGTTATGTTAATCTGAAAAGAGCTGACACTGTAACACTGTTCTTTTACATGTTCACTCCCTTTTACCGACTTGCTTGGGAAGCTAAGTCCTATCCAGTCGTTGATACTTCTTCTTCTTCTTCTTCTTGTTCACCGGATGTAAACTCCGGTGAAAATTTCTCGTTGTTCGTCCACTTGTGGACTTTAGTCCCGTTCCAGAAACTGAATGTTGCGCGCACATCCGTTTCACAGGCCTGACTCATTTGCATGCCGACTTTTCGATCCTTGTCTCTGAGGCAGATGTACTCCGACTTCGAAGAAAACTCCCAGTTAGTCGACTCTTACGACATGCTTTTGGGCAGGCAGTTGGTGTATTCTTGTTTTCTCCACAGTGGGGCCCTGAAACACAAACGGGGAGAATCGTTGATACAGAAAGTCGCTTGTTAAAAATACATGTTGTGAGTAACGTCTGCTTGCAGAAATGTCAGCTCATGTCCTCCACCCACCTAGTGTCGTATGTGTGGGAATTTTAAATTAAAAAACCCCAGAAAACCATCTAAAGTCATGAGAAATGTAGACCTGATTGCTTAAGCATTCAATGTACATTTCTTTGTTCATTTGGAAAATTAACCAAATTGCTGCGATATTAAAAAGTTACTTTACATTGAGACAGGTACCAAGGGTTTATCAAAATTCTCTCTCTCTCTCTCTCTCTCTCTCTCTCTCTCTCTCTCTCTCTCTCTCTCTCTCTCTCTCGTTATGTCTCTGTCTCTCTCTCTCTCTGCCTTATTTTTGTATTCAGTACCCCACAACTGCATCTAAGCTCCACCCCCCCCCCCCTTTTCCAGACCGTCCAATGCTCTCAGATTGTTAATAAGGGAGCTACCACCTCCAACTTGGCCAGTCGCTGCGCACCGATCCAGCCCACTTTGAGAAGCACTGTTCTAACACGTGTACCACCAATATGAAAGTTGAAGAGCTCCAGTCATTAGAATAATCGTTGCCTTGTTTAGTGTGAATGAGGTTATATATTTTCCTGTTTTATTGTCTATGAGATCATCGGTACCAATTTTAGTGTGTGACAGATAGCCTTTTTACTTATATGATATTTTTTAAGTTAATTTGTATTACTCCACCCCCCCCCCCCCCCCACAAACTTTTTCTGTTAGAAACTAATGATACAGAACACCAAAAATTAACAAACAAGGATGGAAGCAATAAACTGTATCACCATTAACTGTACCCAAGACAACAAGATCTTATATTTGAACATTCTAGTAAACAATAACATGAGAGCACTAGTTATAGACATACTATTTGTAGGCGTCGGTACATTGGTATCTTTGTTCGGAATAGTTGCCAACATGATCAGCGTTGTCGTATATGTGAAACAAGGCGTCAACGACAGCGCCACAGTTCAATTCCTAAGTTTATCTGCATCTGACTGTGTATTTTCAGTACTAGCAGCCATGTCATCTGTCAGCGTGTTCTTCGGCCGAGTCAGACCTTATCTCACCCCAGTGGATCCAGTGTCTTTCTCTTACTGTGTGGCTATTACACGAGAGAAGGCGTATTCCACATCGGTCATTATCATTTTTATGATGTCCATTGAGAGATGTTTCTGCGTGGCTTTTCCTTTCACCGTAAAACGTATTTTCTCAAAATCGCGGTCTGTTAAAGCCATTGTTTGTGTGTTTAGTATTTTCGTGGTGTTTTTAATACCGGAATACCTGACCATCGGTTTGGTTTGGACTTATGATAACAAGGCGAACTCAACCCGGTTAATGTTCTGGTCGTCTAGAGATAAAGCCGTCATAGACGTGTGGAAGAACATCATTCTTTCTGGCATGCTACCAGTGGTTTCTGGTATCACCACTACAATATGTACTGCATATATGATATCGACAATAAGAGCATCCAACACATTTCGCCATAGTGGCATCACAGGACGTCACAGTTCCGTAAAGATAACCGAAGTTAATAACGGAGTGAAATCATCCTTAGAAAAACCCAGCGCTCAGAACAAAGACGTAAGGTTGACACGGACGGTAATCGCAGTGGCTGCGGTTTTTATAATATGCAACATACCGAAATGTATCGTTATTTCGTCGTCAGTTGTGGGGCTGTTTGTTCCAGATTTTAGCCTAGTGATTACTGGCCGCTACGATAACTTAATCTCTGTACTTCTGACGATAACATTCGTCTTTGAAATCATCAACAGCTCTTCAACGTTTTTGATTTATTATGCATTCAGTACCAAGTTTAAAACATCTGTCGATCATATTTGTAAAGGCTGTTTTTAAGAACTGCAGGAACAACACCCATCGTCCAATTTATTGAGAAAAAAATGGTTTGGCCATCTAATGAGATAAAGCCAACGATGCCAGCAGAAAGAGCGTACAGACTAGAGGTTTGAGGTTTGAGCAACGGATCAACATCATGGCACACGGGTAGTAACCCATACGTGCTCCGTTCTTCTCCTAACTCGTCTGAGTCCGAAGAAGCTCAGCACAGTACACAAGCTCTGTAGCACCGGCAAGGATCCTGAAATACTTTGGGTAGATTTTTAACTCCAAGTTAGGCGTTAGGCTACTCTTTTCGATTTCCAACTGCCCAGGGATTTTATTTTACGCACACTACCCATAGACCAGGGGAAATTACTAGAAGTCCTGGTCCACGTGAACAAATCCTAGCCCTTTCCGGGGATTGAACCCGGAACCTCTAGCACTCGAGGCGGACACCATGCCTCGAGACCACGCAGCCCCCACAGCGTACAATCTAAAAATCAAAACATCGAGGGGCAGGGGAAGACCGAAAAGAAAATGGATTGAAAGAGTCACTGACACCTTTGACTGCATAACATCACGGCATATCAAGCGACTGAGCGCGCCCAGGCTCGGCTGCCGATCGTTTGACAAACAGCGACGCCTAGCGGCATAAGCAGATATTGACAGAAGAAGAGGTTTTAAAGGCAGATAATACACTATCCTTCTTACTGACTGTAGACTCTTTGGCTAAGTCGATGCGAACGCTTCGTAATGCCGGGATGCCGGATTCGATCCCAGCTGCGGGCCCTGCGCCCTGCGTTGGTTTTGACAGTGGTATCAAGAAAGCCGACCGTTCAGTAGCAATTTCAAACTACTGGACGTAAACTTGCCTAGAAAAACCCACACAACAGCTAGGGGCTATTGGGGTTGGTTCTGCAACGTCCTGTAAAGGATACGCAACTAACCTCAACTTACTGACTATCAAATGCCTCAGAACGGCCACGCGGCATATATAAAAAAGCGGGGAAAGGGACTGGAAAGAAAAGGGGGTGGGGAGGGTTGGTGGTGGTTATGATTGGGGGAGGGGCGGGGGGGGGGGAGTTAAATTGGGGGTATCCAGGCCGTATTTAGAATGTATGACGCAACGGCTAAGTTATTTCTTTTACTTGCTGAGCTAAACTTAAGCATTGCAATTCATTTACAAAAGACACTCCCTCCCCCTTCCCAGCAACATGTTTCATATACCTTGGGAGCAACTGCTATAACTAGAATGTGTCGACTTTTTCATCTCACAAGAACGATTGTTTGGCCGGCGTCATTCTAACAATAATAATTTGTGTTATTATTACTATTATTGTTATTAATGTTATCTGGCGACTGGCAAGCCAAAAAAAAAAAAATTAAAATAATATGAAAAATATAAACAAATGCATTAAAAGAAAACGTCTGTTTATGAAAGGTGGGCGGGGTTAGGGGCGTTATTATTATTAAAACGCTGAGTGACAAATAAATATTATAATAGTAAAGTAATTGTAAAGGACTTTCTTCCGTGCCTTTCATGCGTATTGGGTACATAGGGCTAGACCTATATTTGATAGACCAAACAGCATTTAGTGGGTGATGTCGTCAGCATCACGCCGGCCGCCTTTACTTCATCGGTCTGTACCTGGTACCCACTCAAGGCTGAGTCGACCTTGGAGCCAAGCTAATGTCTGAAGAAAAAAAAAATCCGGCCCTCGCCAGGAACCAAACCCACGATTTTCCGATCCGCAGCCGAGCGTCTTGTCGCTAGATATATTAATATACTTGAAATTATGTGAAATTTATATATATATATATATATAAACAAATACTCTGAGATGAATTCCTTGTCGCCGATGACCAGGAAATCACAGCACCAACTGCGAGAACATATAAATAGACCACTCAGAATGCAACATCTATGACAAAACGCAGACAAAACAGAAGAGATGACATTCTCTAGAAAACAATGAACCACCAATATCAAAACTGATGAATACCAGTTAAAGCAAGCAACGAATTTTACAAACCTGGTGGAGCATTCCTTTTTTATTTTTTTAATTTTTTTTTAATTTTTAAAAAAGGTCAAGATTTAGGCCAAATGGCACCAATTATGAAATGCAAGCATGTAAATATGTACATTAAAAGAACACTGTTCGGCACAACATTCTTACCAATGCTGTGTTATCAATGTCAAACATGGACACTGTCTTCAGAAGACAGAAGGAAACTAGTAAAGATAGAAACGAAATGTTTACGTAAACATTATGCTAGTCGTAACCAGGAAAGATCGACTAGGAACCATGAAATCAGGAGGACAGTCGGCACAAAACCGGTATTAAACTGTACAGGTAGACAATAAATCAAATATTATGACCATGTAACCGGAGCGGCATCAGACATGGCACCACAGAGAGCAACGTTACACAGATACAACCATAACAGACCAATAGGTCGACCACGCAAAATATGGACCGCAGAAATATCGGAGACACTGAAAAGAACTTTATACAGAAGGGCCTGTTCTAGAGATCGCTTCCTGTCCTTGCGCTGCGAGCCATTCCAGGATAGAGAAACGAAGGACTAAGAAAAAGAAGATTCTCACAAGGAAGTTCTATAAATGGTTAAAGGGGCTTCTTAGTCTCTTACATAATTGTAGGAGGGACTCATTGCCCCTTTCCCCTTTCCCCCACCACACCTGAAATTTTTTTTTCCCCCGGTGTGCTCAATAGATCTTACCTCAAGTGTTAATGAAACAAATGTATGGTAGATTTCTCATTTTCCATTTAAATAAACAAATAGATGTTTGGTTGATATTTTAGTATTTTGATATTACATTAATAAGAACCAGTATCTGAACAAATATTTTAAATTTTGATGCTCTACTTCTAAAACCAAATAGATTTCTAGTTTATAATTGCTTTAACTTCTTCTTCTCTCGTTCGCTTGAAATAGATTATCTATATCTGCAATGTATGAACTTCACTGTCTTTTGTAATTCCCTCAGCGGCCCTTAAAATTTGGCTTGCGTTCACATTTCTAAGCATAATAAAGGTCTGCCCCAATATCGGACGCAATATTTCGTTATTTTAAAGCCACACTCCGTCTGTTGCCGGAATCCCTAATATAACTTAACCTATGGGTTGAAAGGGATTTTTGGGACCTGTCACCGGGTGATCCTCATCCGAATGGTGGCACTTTGCGTCACCTGGTGTTTGTCGCTCGGTGTGATGTCCTGGTGGCGTTGAACGTCAGTCAGTCAACTAATTTCTAAGCACAGTTGCCCTCTGATGGTCGGCTCTCATTGTCGAAATCAAATGGACTGCAGCTAAAATCGAACCTGAGTACCGTGGATTTACGTTCGTAAAACCCAAGACACAGACGCTGTCTCTTGGAATAAAAAGATGTTACATGAATAATTTAGGGGGCATTTCCATTATCTAAACTGTTTAACTTTTATCATCATCTTCATCATCATCCTTGTCATCATCACCATCGTCATTATCATCATCATCATTAACATCATCATCATCATGCTCATCTCAACATCATAATCATCATTACCATCTTTGTTGTTATCTTCATTATCACCATCATCATCTTCATCATCATTGTCATCATCATTGTCATCATTGTCATCTTATCATTATCATCATGCTCATCTCATCAACATCCTCTTGTGCCATTTATACGTGGCATAATTTCTCAATTTCGTTATCTCCTCTGCAAATTTCTCCCTATCTTTGATTGAATTAACTCCAGTACTCTTGACCTCTCTCGTCAGTTAGCTAATCATGTCTATCATCAACAAGTGCTAATCATGTCTATCAACACAAGTGCTAAATACTACATAACATGTAACTAGAAAGCTCAGGCGAGGGAATGGAAAGCTTGCGCACAAATAAAACCGAACGTTTTGACCAAAATCTTTATCAACGGAGCACTAATTACAACACAAAGCCATCAGCGTTTGTTTTAGCTAATAGTGGGATGTATATGTTTCCAATAATGAAGGTGTTGTAACTATAAAAGACTACTAATGAGTCAGTTTCGGATTTTATTGTATGTTTATTTTTACGTACATAGTAAAATCATATGAGAAATTAGGGAGGAAGGTTGGTAAGGGAAAAGGGGCGGGGGGGGGGGGATAAAAGGAAAGAAAATGCGAATCGCCGTTGAATGTTGAATTAAGAATTGACATCATATCACTGGGAAAACTCCCAAAAGCATTCTGTCCCCATCTTCGGCAGCAATCGAAGAGTTCTAATTCTGATAGCACCAGTAACTGTCTGATTGTGTATACATTTCGCATTTGAGAGTGGGCCAGATCCCCTGGTAACTTCTAGCAGCATCATTCTTTTCAGACAGTAATAATCTATCTGTGCCTCCGCACTGTCCACTCGTTCCCATCGGCGATCTGCTCGCCCATTGGCTGATCGGTAGACGGCCTCGTCATCGGCCGTGACAGTATTTGGGTCGGTCTACTTCGATTGCGTCAACACTACAAAAGCCTAAGTTAAAGTTTCTTGGTGGCGAGCAATGTTGAGCCATTTTAAATGGCGCACATAATCTAGTTTTTTGTTGTTATTGCTCAGAATCGAATTGGAGCAGATCACTCACTCCCAAAGGAGCCTTTCAATATCAATTCACCAACATGTGGTGCAGAACCTGTCAGAACGCGAATAGCCGTGTGAGGACAAAACAGTGATATAAGATATGCATCTGTTACAGTGAGAATTAAACCAAGAAATGTCATAAATATGTACATATTCGTATATGTTTTCGAAAAAAAAGGTGGAAGCGGTAACTGCAGCTCTTCGGTGACTAGAGAACAAGATGCACACACCGTCGTAATTGTAACAGACTCTGAAAGCATGCTGAGAAACGTTAAGACAGGGATGCTTCGAGCAGAGTGGCAAGCTACTTTGCGAAGGTCACGGGTAGTGAGCATGCTTTGAATCTTTTCTCTGGTCATGCAGCCGTGGTGGGTAATGAACAGACAGACCGATTGGCTG